GCGGATCATATACTGGTGGTAACACACTGCCAACCCGATCCCCCAAGAAATGGAAACAATCCCCACTCAATATACAATGACCCTCTGGCGGGAACAATCAATAACTGCCTGGTATGACAACAACCAGTCCATACCGAAAATCACATCAAAACCCGACATAGCCATAACTACAAAAGAGAATGGAAGACGGCAGTCGGCGACCTCTATGTCACAACCTCTACATCTTTGTTTCAAAATCAATTCGCCCCCAACAGGCGATAACAACACATATAGGAGATGCTAACTGTGCCAACTCCAACCCCAATACAGATGCAAATGCAGCAGATATAAAGGAATGGGATGCACCCGTATCAATCAACACATTGGCAACTGAGTTGCAAAACAAAAAGGTATATCTCACAACAGATAGAGCCGGTACAAGATCCTGCGTGGTAACAGCATACACGCGCCCGGTAGGTCTCTGGTCAACTTGCTCACCTCTTGGAGCAAAAGACTACTGCACAGACTGAGACGATGAAGCCCCCTGATTGGCCCTCGAGACTTGAACAGACTGTGCTGGCTGCGAACTCTGCGTCTGTCTCGAACCAGACGCACCGGGTGTACCACCCAACTGTGGGCAGAACCTCTTCAGGTGCCCCGCCTGACCACACTGCTAACAAGAGGACGACCGGCCTCTACCCTGACTCTGGCTCTGAGGTCGAGCCGAAGATGAAGCTGCTCCATGACCTCCTTCCCTCTGCGGGCAAGCTGGAGACTTGTGGCCCAGCTGCTCCATGACCTCCTCCCTTGGCTGTCTCTCCCAGAACTTGAACTCGGTACTGGAAAGGTAGATCTCACCAAAGCACTCTAGGACTACTGAGGGTTAGAACCCTTCTGCCTCCTACCATCCCCCCTGGCCATCCTGACTCCTCTTGGAGCCCCTCATTCTCTCTCTCCTCCTCCTGCATCATAGTCTCCATATGGGTCGCGACATCCACAAGACCCCCATACTCCCGGATCATGGATCCCCCAACTATGGTCTTGAGCCCATGCCTCAACTTCTTATCGAACTCAAGACGACGGCGTTCCTCAGACGCCACAAGCTCAGGAGCAAACTTGGATAAACTGGTAAAAGTGGCCTCAAACTTGGCCACTGGCATACTCAGCTGCTTGAGTTGACAAAACTGGTCCCTCAGCTTCTCCCTGACAGCGGGAGATAGAACTTCTCCTGGAAAGCATCTACAAAGGCCTCCCATGTGCCACCAATACGACCCCTCATGAATTTCCACCACTGAACCGTATCCCCCTTAAGTTGGAAAGATGCCAAGGTCACCTTCAATGCCCTGTCTTTGATGCCAAGCATCTCAAACGTCTTAGTCATCTGTTCCAACCACTCATCAGCCTTAAGTGGCTCTTTCGGATCAACGACAAACTCATCCGAGTTTGACCGGAAGAACTCCCTCTTTAGAAAAGAAGGCCCTGCATCAACAACCTGGGTTGGGACTTGATTCTCAGCTCTGAGAATGGCCATGGATTCCCTCAAAGCTCCTGCTATCTCGCGGGCTGAGGCGCCCATGGCCTGCTGACCTACTGGCTCGGCCACATTGGCCTGACCAACACCCTTCTGCTGCGCCGGAATCTTATCCGGTATAGGCATCTCCTGCCTCCTAGGCCTACCTCGCCTACCACCATGTCCTCGTCCTGACATCCTAATAAAGGTAACGAAGAACATTAGCACATTTACAAATGTGCCGAAGCTATAACACTCGCGTCCTAATGCAATGGACAACTGTAATTCACTCCACGTAAGCACATAATCACATAAGCACTTACGAATTTCATTTCTGGATAATGATAGTCCCGAGGCATTACTAGAGTTCCGGTTAGAAACAACATTGATCAAGTGCTTTTCCAACAAAACTCACAGAAACCCAAGGATCCAATCAACATCCTAGAAACTAAATCCCATACCCATATAGCCACATAAACATGTTATCACATAAGCACATAACACTACATCTAAGTCTCTAACAAGCGAGACAAACCCATTGTGATACTAATCACTTCCCACGTACCCAAAGTATTCAAACAAGTCTCTAACAAGCGAGACAAACCCATTGTGATACTAATCACTTCCCACGTACCCAAAGTATTCAAACCCGGTACGCTTTGATACCAAATTGTAACGCCCTAAAAAAAAAACCTAAAAACAGACATCCATGATACAAGAAAAAGATATCATATTTCATAAATCAGAGTATTCTTACAGAATGTATTACATGTTGACAACAAAAGTAAATGTCCTACGGGCTTACAACTTTCCAAGTCAATACTTGGTTACAAAAAAGAGAGTACTAACTCTACACAAAATAAGCCCTTAGCTTGATATACATGTAATACAAAAAGTAATCAAAAAGGTCTCTCAGCCACTAAGCCTCCCAAGCTACGTCCTTGGAGGTGGCATGTAACCTGCACCTGAAAATGATGTCCCAAATAGGGTGAGCCAATGCCCAGTAGAGATATGCTAAACATAGTATGAGCAATAACTAAAACATTAGCACTTGATAAATGTTTAACTCGTAAAAACCAACATACAGTACAATTCAGTTCCTTAATCCTTTACTTAACCAATTCTCAACTTGTAAGCACGGTTCAAAACTTGGCCAAACAACTTAAATGAGACTACATCTCATGCCAACAATACTTCAAACTGCCATTTCACGGAAATTGCGTCCGCGGGAATCGACACCCATGTGTAATTATTTTCTTGTGGCCATTTTACGGAAATTTCATCCGCAGGACTCGGCACCCATGTATAGATATTTTCGAATTGCCATTTTACGAAAATTTCATCCGCAGGATTCGGCACCCATGTATAATTATTTTCGAATTGCCATTTTATGGAAATTTTATCCGCAGGATTCGGCACCCATGTATTCAAATACTCATCATATACATTGACCAATCAATACACATATTCGTTGTATTATTCCAACCGTCATACTCAATGACATACTCAAATTGATTAGTTTTAATTCACCTAATCATCATGCAGTGTCTACAACAATCAAGACTATCCTCCACCGATATCCCAAAGCAGTTATTTCTAAACAAATAATAAATGCACCAACAAATAAATTATCAATAATTCTCAAAGGTGAGTGATTATTAAGTCCAAATCCACCATTCTACTACATAATGAACCAATTTCATTATTCCCAACTCAATTTCATATTTCCATAACATTCCCAAATTTATTATATAAATTAATTCATAACAAAAATTAGGGCGTTCTCCCATCTTTCTCAACATTGACCAAAAGGCTCGATTATCCACAATGATCTCACTTGAGACCCAAAATACACATGTAACGGCCCAAAGAACAAAACCCCTCTTTAAACAATTGAAACCCTAACACCCATAGTTACCCAACTTCAACATCATATCAAAGTGACTAAAAGTTTATATCAAAGACCATAAAAATGAGTAGTTATCCCTACCTCAAATTCGGAGCTCAAAGGAGGAGGTGAAGAAAATCGAAAGTGCTCCAAATCCCAAGATTTTCGGATTGATAGGTAGACCAAGCCAAGCTCTACACTTTTTGCAAAGGGACAAGGCTAGAAACACACTAGAACTAGATCAAACCTTAGAGACAAGGTGAAATGTAGTGAGAGAAGCTCTCAAAATAGGTGTTTGAAAAGTAAGAGAGAGAGAGTGAGTTGAAAAAGTGATCTAAAATGACCCAGCTGCCAACTGATATACGTATGACCCGCTTGAGAGAAGAATAGGACGCTTGAGCGTCAAACACAAAAACTGGACTTGCTTGAGCTCAAGAATACCCACTCGAGCACAAAGGAACACCCGCTCGAGCGTAGATTACACTCTTCCAGTACTTTTACAGACATCGAACACCCACTCGAACGCAAGGATACCAGCTCGAGCGTAAAGAAATCAGCTCGAGTGTGAAAAACACATCTGCAGCATTTTTGCAGACGGACAAACTACTGAAGGTATGCAAATTCCGCTCGAGCGCAAGAAGACCCGCTCGAGCGGATCACTAAAAATCTGGGCAACAAGAGTTGGGACATAAGCTCAACCAACCTGTTTGAAATACGCCCAAGACAATTCTAAACTCAAATGCAAAGAGTTAAAGGACGAAAATGAAATACAAACAACAACAACTATCAACAGAACCGAGTCCGGAATACAGTAAACATGAGAGGGAAAACCGGGATCGCTATAGAATTATAATTTGATAAAAATTTAAAAAGATGAAGCGTTGGAAATTATTGTTTGTTTTTTTTCTTTTCCCATCAAAATTGATGAAAAGAAAAAAAAATGGGATAAGAATGAAAGTTCTTTTAAAAATTGATAAAAAATTAATGAAAAAGTTAAAATAATTTATATCAAATCAAATTTTTAATTCAAATTTAAAATCAAATTAGATAAAAAAAAAATTAAAAAAAATGATGAAAGGTTGGAAATATTCCAAAACCTTCTTATTCTTAAAGATTAGAAATCTATTATATTCATATTGTATTTTTAGTTATAAAATTAAAACCAAAAGAAACGTAACTTAAATTATTAGATTAATAACAGAAACATCATTTTAATTATTGTTAAATATCAATTCACTTCACATTTAATAATAAAATTATATATTTGTCTTAATTATAACTTTTAAATTTGTATATTTTCATAATAAGAAGAGGTATATCATAACTCGTGTAACCTCATTTAATTAGGTTTAACTCTTTTTTTTTATTATAAATTATCAAAATTGCACTAGATATGTTTATATATATATATGTATATATATTTATTTTTTTAAACTAATAATTTAAAAAGTTATAACATAAAAATTAATTTATAAATTTCATATATATATCACAAGATAAAATATTAAATTACTTCAACATATTTATAATAATTTTTTTTTAATTATAAAGTCCCGGACATAGCACGGATTACTACTAGTATATCAATAAAGGGAAAGGAAAGAGCATACAGCATCATAGTATTACATCCTAATTTCAACTAGGTTGGCAAGAAAAAAAACATCAAATTATATGTTAGCTCAAGCCAAAAAGGTTGGTGAGAAGCCAACTATGAGAGTAAAACAAGCCTCAAACAGACACAAACCCCAGCACACCAACAGAAACACAGCCTAGAACACCCAGCAGTAGCCATAGCACACAGCATCAGGCAGAGAAAACAGAGCACCCAAATCCTTACCCCTTATTGCTAGGAAGTAAATCTGATCTGCTGCAACTTTGACACGATGTCATGCACCGAATACGAACAGTCCTTTGAATGAGCTTTAACCCACAAAGCAATTCCAAGTTTTATCAATTCACAAAGCTCATCCAAAGCAGCCTGCTTACCATTGAAGATACACTCATTTCTAGATTTCCAAATGGACCAAAGTGTGGCCAGAGATATAGCTTTCCAGATCATATTATCAAATTTCTTCCATTTGAAGCCCCTCCACCAGTCAAGAAGCCCTTCTACCTTTTCAGGTGTCACCTATTGTAATCCCCATCAGCTCAACAGGTTTGCCCATACTCTCCAAATAATGGGACACAACAACAATACATGACTTACAGTTTCCATCTCACTGTTACAAAAAGCACATTCAGATCTGACATTAGGACCAAGCACCCCAATTCTGTGAAGGTACACTGATGTTTTGATTCTTCCCCTCCAAGCCAACCATCCAAAAAACAGCCAACCATCCAAAAAACTGCACTTTTGGTGGAGTAATATTGTTCCAAAGAAGGTTGGTGATCACAATGTTAGGTGAAGGGGAAAACTTGTTATAAACTGATGACACATCAAACTGACCTGAGGAGGAGGCTTTCCAAATTAAGCAAACATCTTTATTTGAGAAGGCTGGCAATGTAGTAGTCAATCTGATATAATGTCATCCAACATCCTCTTCTTCCCAGGCAAATAACCTCCTTCTGAAGTTCAGAATCCAGCTTGATGAGCTTCTTTTTTTTTTTCTTTTTTTTTTTTTCCACCATCATTCTGAAAGATGCCCCTTTCTCAGTTGACAATCCATACAATCTTGGAAACTCATCTTTGAGACTGAAGTTTCCAGCCCAATCATGATCCTCTCAGAATTTGGCCCTAAGGCCATTACCAATTACTATTTCACTGTTTTCCAAGACAAAACTCAACAGGTGTGGATTGTTCTGTGCAATGTTGGTGATATCATTCCATAATCTTGATCCAATGATATGGTCTCCTGGAAAAGGAAGCCACGTCCCACCTGTGCTGTTGTATTTGCTGATTAAAATGGCTTTCCAAAGAGCAATATCCTCTACCCCATACCTCCACAACCATTTAACTAGCAAGCTGACATTTACCTCCCTCAATCTTCTTTCCTAAACCCCCCTGACTCATACTTTTAGTAACATCTTCCCACTTTACTAGATAGTATAATGGAAGGCTAGACAAAACAGATTTGATAAGTGTCAACCTTCCACCAAAAGAGAGAAGCTTTCTCTTCCAAGAGGCCAACTTTGATTTGAACTTGTTGATTACTGGTAACCATGTGCTCCTTTTTCTTGGGCTGGCACCAAGTGGAAGGCCAAGATAGGAGAATGGGAACTTATGGAAAGTACGAAGATGTACAACTATAGAAGCCATATAAAGCTCATATTTCACTTACAATAATCACCACAAACTGTTCTTTATATAGGACTACATTTAACATTCTAGCTAATGTATCTCATACTCATAAATGTTATTGCAAATCTTACGAAATTTTTTTAACACAAGTTCATACATTTTTCTATGAGACGAGTATCATCAAGTTGCGGATTGCATTTTTCAACAAATTCAAATGTTTCATATCTCATATGTCATTCCAACCCTAAGGAGTCGACTCCGAGGGATTCCCAATACTTGTTCCCCTCGGCTAAAGTTTTTCCTGAGGAAATTATAGGCATAGTTGACAACAATCTTCTTGAATAGGGATGAGTTCTGTTCAGCTCGAACTTCTGCTTCCCCTAAGAAATAAACAACACCATTTTCCATTGCTTTATGGACAAATTGCATCTCCTCTTCGGCACCTGGGATGGCTCCAGTGTTCACTGGCTCGACTATTTCTTCATTAGGCTGTTGTCCTTCGTGAATGAAGTGTTCATGCTGAAGGTACTGCTTCAAGTGCTCAATCAGTTGCTTTTCAAACACCTCTGATCCTTCAATCACATCATTATATCCATATCTCACCACACAGCGAAACATGTGGTAGTCTCTTGGTTCGACCAGCCGAAATAAAAATCTCTCCTCCATGACCACTTTGCTAGTGGGAATAGACTTGATAGAGACAAACACCAAGACTGAATGGATGGATGGTATATAGGTAATGAAATGGCGAAATATTGGAGGAATGCCCTGCACAAGCTCAGAGTATAAAAGTGCAATTCCGGGCACCCTGTTAATATTTGGATTCAGTGCCAAGTCTTTTATAAAATTACTAGAAACCTTGTTGTTGAGCTCAAACATGTATCTCTTTTTGTGTACGTAATGCCACAACCCCATTATCAGCATTAGAACAACTGAAAAGGCTAGTGGAAGGTAACCGCCCTCAACGAATTTGAACAAGACAGATGACAGGTATAAGCCCTCAATCGAACCAAAAATCACGAGGAATAGAACTATCCACCATATGCTTGTCTTCCATATAACAAGCATGATAAGAGTAAGCATACAGGTTGTGATGATCATTACAGCAACCACGGCGATTCCTGCACCAAAATGGTATGTGTCATTTTCCTTAAATGCTATTTGGGAAAGGAAAGAAAAGAAAATAAATTTTCTAAATTTTGAGCATATTTCAAGTGTCCATAGTTCAATTTACAAGGCTTTTGAAGCTTACCATATGCATTGCCAATATTTGTTGTGCTCTTGAAGGCAGCGGTTACAATAACGCAAGCAATCATTAGTAAGAAGTTGACCTCCGGTATGTAAACTTGACCCTCGTACTTAGCTGACGTGTGGACAACTTTAACCCTCGGAAAACAACCTAGACTTAAGGACTGGGAGATAATTGAAAATGTTCCCGAGATCATAGCTTGGCTAGCGATAATGGCAGCAGCAACAGCGACAACAAATGTTGGCCAATATAATGGACCTGCATACCGGTGAGCATGAATGAAAAGCAAAAATAGCGATAATAAAAATATTATGATGATAATTATGTAAGCATGATAGTTTGGGTAATCACAATGAATTATTCGATTTTAGACTTGCCTGGAATCGAGGCGTAGAAAGTATTACCCACATCGCCGGGGAATTTGACAAGGTATGCAGCTTGTCCACTGTAGGCAGCTAGTAATGCAGGAAACACAATTCCAGAGCAACTAATCTGCAATTCATTTTTTCTTTTTAAATATAAAAATAAAAATAATTCAATTAAAGCTGACCTGATTAATAACCCAACTCATTATAATCTATACATTCATAGTAAAATTCATTCTTATTTCTCTGTGAGCATAAATATATTATTGAATCACATAAATTTGTGTGCCTTCATGTGCTTATTTTGTTTATCTTTTTCTCAAATATATATATATATATATATTTTTTTTGGCTCGCATTGCCTTCTTATACCTTAAAAACATCAATACTATTAAATACTAGAATAATGCTTGGGACCCCCTTTTGGGGGTCACCCCTAACCCCTTTGCCACGTGGCGGGTGGTGATTGGAGGAGCAGGAAAAAAAAGAAAAAGAAAAAGAAAATGTAACCAATGAGAGAGAGAGGGGGTCAAAGGGGGTGGGAGGAAAAGGGGGATGAATCATTGTTGTAAATACTATCTAGAGTTTGAGCAATGTTGCTTACTTGGACTGCTCGAACATTGAAGTGCCCTAGATCGGCAAACATGGCTTCTGTCCCTGTTTCATGCATTTGACACTAATTTAAAAATTAAAATAATATCAAGGAGTAAAATAGTCTACTCTCTCTTCAAAATGAATGGGAAGTTGACTCCCAATTTAAAATAATCCATTCCTCTAGCAGACTGTTTTACTCTTGTGGATATCATCAAATGGACTAAATTGATAAAATGTGACAATTTAATAGGCAAAATTAATTTAATTAGAATTGTATAGACCAAAAAGAAACGCATTACAGCGACTATAGTTATAATTTGCCCATTTTTAAAATTTTTTTTTTGTAATATCATTTTGTTGTGGCTAAAATTATCACAAAAATTGGTGACGGCAACTTTGCCAACACAGATTTTTTGCGACCTCATTTGCTGCTATCACGCCGTCGTCACAAATCCTTTTTGCAACAAAACATTTTTTTTTATAGTGAAATTTTCTCTCACCTGTAATGCAGAGAACAACTCCACCAAGAGATACCCATCCTTTCTTGCCATTTCTTTTGAAGTAATCAACTATGTATTTTGGATTAAAAGCCTTTAAGACTCCAACGTCATGCTTGAACAAGTTATAGAGTCCTATTCCACTTATGAACAAGAACCACAATATGATGATTGGTGCGAACGAGAATCCCACTTTATCAGTCCCAAATCTTTGAACACAAAAAAGAACTATCAAGATTGCAATTGAAATACCCACTACAGCATCTGGAAAAAAATAAAATAAAAAATTCATTCAATCAATCAACATGTAATTATTAATGTAATGATGAATATATATGCACCTCAAGAACTTAATTCGATAGACTATACTATTACTCCTTATAATTTAAATGTATATAGTTTTAATTTGAACAATTAAAATTGAACAAACTACACTTTGCACTTTATATTTTAGAAAGATTTACCAATAAATCCCAATTGTTGAACTTATAATCCAATTAGTCCCATATGTTTTTTAATGTTCCGTTTGGTCCTGTGCGTTGTGAAAGGACATTGTTGCCATTGATATGTATTGTTGCCAAAATTCGTGTTTGTCACGTGACACATTTGTGGGGGCCACACAATATGAAAGTACCGTAAGGCGTGTTATGCACCAGTGTGTGATGTGTATGGTAGTAATGTGTTGCACCTTCATGCTTTGACCAATTTGTGGGTTACGTGTCACATTTGTGGGTGCCACACATGAGGAAAGGACACTAAGGCATTTTATGCTCTACTGTGTGATGTGTGTTGGTTGGCACACATACCAGTAAAAATGCGTCCACATAACACACAACCCACACCCATTTGAAAACACCACACACAATCCGCATACCACACACAACCCACATACCAGGTAAATGCACAAAAAATCAACATTGCTAAAAGAACATAATATGCCTGCAAAACGGCGAATATGAGGACATCTGAACTGCTATGTATGCCACACAAACAACCAGTCGTCATAACAAAACACCTCGGTGTCAAAACTGGAAACCCTAACGGAAATGGCTGACTCATCTGTTGAAGTAACATTTGACTTACCAAATATGCTGTCCAATAACCCAAAAAAAATGTAATCCCGTGAAACACATCCCACACAAAAAAGTGAAGGGTAAAACCGTCCACACAGCAACACCAAACATGCAAAATAGGATGAAACAGAATAAATCTCTCCACCACTGAGACTTATCGGATCAACAGTTTAAATTGGGGATTGATTGGTATAACTGTTTGTGAGATGTGATTTATTGGTAAATAATCCTATATTTTAATCTAACTTTTTAATTGTCAGTCAACTCCTTAGATTTTGAGTCAAGTGGCAATTTGGTCCATTTGAATAATATCGTTTCAAAAACAAACGGAGTACAATCACGTGATAATATTAATTACACTTACACTTTTATCAAAATCTCACCATAGTTTCTCCGCTTCAACATTTAGCACCCTTGTACTTTTACTAATTTTCATTTTAACCCCTACACTTTAGCTTCTCTATCAATTATTGAAATGACTTTATTCAACTGGACCTACTTGAAACTTGATGAAGTGTCAGGGGTTAACTAAGACAATTAAAAGGTTTAGGGGCAAAGTGAGATTGAGTATAAAATATAGGAGTGCAAAGTGTAATCTAGACACTAATCCATCAATCACTTTGAGGAGAGTGAATGAACTATTTTGCCTCTTGATTTCATTCTAATTTCTAAAGAATTTTTATTCATTTGACTAAACCGACACAATATATAATTGACATAAGAGACAAATTACAAAAATTACGAATGTAATTTGTCTTTTAATTAATATTTATGAAATATTGTTTTACATAAAAGCAAAACTATTTTATCATATGCATCCCACTAATCAACTACTAGTGAGTAAAAATAATTTCAAAAGGGAAAAATCTACCTTCGAATTAGATGACACGGCCCCTCCCTTTTCTCTTTGCTGCTATCACCTTTCTTTTTCTCTCCTTTTCTTCCTTCTATAATTTTTGACCAGCCAGTCACCACTACAAAACCTCCTTTGGCCACCTCAACCCCTCCTTGTCATCGCTGTTGCCACCACCGCCACCACAACTCATCTCCTCCCCAACCAACAACCCCTCTCCCAATTCCTAGTCACCACTGCTACCCCAACCCTTTAACCCTTCTCTCTAGCAACTCTACATCCTACCCTCATTCTTTATAAAATAGTTGTCTTAAAAAATATATACAATCATTTTAAACTTTGTTAATCTATAAATTTAGAGCATACGTTTACTAGACCTTTATCAAATGCCTTAACCATATTATATATATAAATATTTTGTTAATACCTTGATGCAAGGCCTTGATCCCACTCACTGCAGAAAGGACTGCAAAACAACACCATTCATGGTTTCAGTTAATCTTTGTATATAAATATGTACATGTGTGTGTCAACTCCACAAGTGATGAAGACAGTGAATCAAATAGTAAGTATGAGAAACTGCATGAAATTAATTGGTTTTAAATATCACTCAATATATACATGTATCCGGATTTTAAACTTGTAATACCGATATTCATTGATATATCAACTGATACTATTTGATATAGGCTGATATATATGTCAGTATTGCTTGTAAGGTTGAGCTTGTGTAGCTCTGCTGCTGCTCTGTTTTTTGCGGCTGTTTTGTATTGTTGGTTGGTTGGTTTTGTTCTCTGTTGGTTCCTCAGCAGCAGTGGGTGTGGTGCTCAGTGCCAACCTAGTTGGGATTGTTGTGGCTTGCTGTGATGCTTTGAGCACTTGCTTCTTCTTTATTGATGTAATCTGTATCTTTTTATGATTTTCCCCGTCAATAAAGTTCTCTTTTGGTTGATCAGTATTGCCAATATTGACATGAATGGCAAACTCAAAAATTGTACAAAGGAGGGGCCGCCGCCAAATCAAAATTTATATTGATTTCGATGGGTTGAAATGATAAATTCTTTTATAACTCAAGATTGCAAATGTTTTTTTTTTTTTTTTTAAATTTAATTAAAATTCCTCTGTATCTGCTAATCATCGTTATGTATTCTGATGTCGCAACTTAAAATTATAAACTAACCAGAGATGCATGGAGTTAGAACCCCATCCCCAATGACCATGGAAGTTCCCAAGATGGTGACAAGGAAGAGAACCATTTGAGCAGTTCTGCTATTCTCCAACTTCTCTTTAATCTTTAGAGCTCTTTTCAATTGGTTGGAAGATAGATCAAGCTTGTAGTTGGATAGTTGTCTGTCCTCTGGCTGTTCATTTGGTATCAAGCTCACCTTTGCATACCGGCATATCAAGGAATAGAGTGCAAATGTACCTCCTATATATACCAATTGCACATCAATAGTTATTATTTATTTATTTATTTATAAAAAAAAAAAATTGATATATGTCACCGGCTAAATATTATTGTGTAAGACTCATCACTACTAAATAATAGTAAGCAAGGACGGATTCAGAATTCGAACTTTGGAAGAACAAAAGCATATGTAACTTGTTATCTTTTAAAATTATCTTACTAATTATTAGTATAATATACATAATTTTTAAAATTTTTGGAGTGTGACCCCCAAAACCATCCACAATGTTTTTCTTGTAATCAAGAATGCAATTTGAGTGAGTCTCAACTAGAACAACTTGAACTCGATTTATTTAAGGTTTGGGGTACATATTTTTGAACTCGACGCAGGTTGAGCACAAATTCAAAAAGGCACAATTAAATTCTGAAGTTGCACTTTAATGTAATCACTACCAAACAATTAATACCCTAATTAAATGATTTTGCTTTATTACTATAAAAAAATATTAAATTGATATTAAAAGAGAAGATTAATAAAGGAGGGCACTTACCATCACCATTATCGTTGGCCCACAAGACAATGAAAACATACTTGAGCATGGGAATGAGGAGAATGGTGTAGATGATGAGAGACAACACTCCCAGAAGATCTTCTGTGTGTTGGATACCCTTTGGGAAAGTGCTTGAAAACACATACAGTGGAGAAGTCCCTATGTCTCCATATATTACCCCGACACTTTGAAATGCCAAACTCAATGTTGTCCACCAATCTACCTGCAATGAGTGCAGGGATTTTTTTGAATATATTTAAATGGCTTAGAGAGAGTATCTGAGACAAATCAAACAGTCCCCACAAATGTAACTCAAATAGAATGCCAAAGTAATAGAGAGATCTAACTCAAAATCAATTGATAACGAAATCAATTGATAACGAGTGGAAGGACCTCTAGCATAGATCACAGAGATGATATGGAATAAGTGCCGTTTTGGAAACTTTCGAAAAAAGCCACGTTTTTTATCTAAGGTCCAAAAACGCAAATGGCCAAAAACACAACAAAATTTGTTTGGGAAGTTATAAAAACGCAAGTGTGAAATTACAAATTGGGGCCTATGACAAAAAAATAAAAAAATAAATTTCTTATGTTAGGTAAGGGTATTTTGGTCATTTTAATTTAATTTGACACCATAAACAAATATTAAACTAAAAAGTCAAAAGTCAGCTTTTTACAAACTTCTCAAATTACTTTCCAAAAAGCTAAAAAGCTTGGTAAAAAGCCAAAAGTCAACTTTTTACCATCTTCTCAAAACACCCCTAAGTATAACACTGCTATTTAAAATCACGATTGTTAATATGGATATCATGGATAGGGAGTGACATGTTAAGTAGTGGACATGAATTGGTTTTATATTTTAACTCTTACAATAACAGCTCAACAAAATATGTGAAGAAAATATATAATTCAAGACTCTGATACTATGTTAAAAGAGATGGATGGAGGGAGGGGTATTAGGGGTTAAATTTAATACCCGCCCCTAAAATATTCTGTTCATTGTAGTCTAAAACTCATGGTTACTCACGTAAATAAAATCAATTTAGAGAAACTTTTATTATTATTATTAATAAAGACTAGTGAAGCAATTAACAATAATTATCTCTAAAGTCTTCTTTTTTTAGTTTCAATCTTCACTCTCTCTCTCTCTCTCTCCTTTGTTCGTTTCTCCCTTATCTTCTTGTTCTTCTTTTGTTTCAATATTTCATTTTTCTTTGTTGTTTGAATTTTCTCTTCAAATTGATTTCAATTTTCGATTTCATCTTCCCTTTTTTTTTTTTCCATATTATTTCAAACTTTTTTCTTTTGCTTCAATAATTCATCGTCATCATCATCCGTCTTTCAAGAATTGAAAATATTTGTAAGAGCTGAACATCTAGTTTAAAGAAGATATGATAAAGTTGCTTGTATTTAACTCTGCTAGGGATGGCTAAAGGTCATCCAAAATTGAAGATATTTGCAAGTTTGCAAATAAATTATGTTCCAACAGCTTTACGGAGCAAAAAAATTGCATTTGAAATACAAATTGCAAAACTATGAGATTGATATACCTTTAAACATCACAAATTTTAAAAATTAGACAATAATTTTTGAGTTGTGCCATTTGTTGAAAACAAGATGTACGATGAATTTTTAACAAGTAATTTGATCACATATTTTGTTGTATTTTATGACCATATTTTTATTATTATATATGATGAATAGGAACATCTGATGATATAATTTTGTTATTATTTTTAACATTTCATATTGTGTTATAAAATTTTGAACAAATTATACTGGCAGTCCCTGTATTTTATGCCGATTGAAAGAAAACGATAACTGAGTTCGTTAAAATTAACTTATTGTGTTGAATAAATTTATAATTTTTCATACAAAAACATGAAACATGCTGCTCAGGTTCGCTTTTCCATAAAAAATACTAACAATTATAATTAATTAGACCAAATTGAAATAAATTCATAAAATAAATATAAAAAAAGAGTCAATTGAAATCACAAGGATCATAATGACACAAAGGCCAAAGTATAATGACTACGCGTGTAATTTATCCTAATTTTTTTAGTTATTTAAATGTTCACCCCCCTAAAGTAAAAATTCGTTGTTTAAAATATTTAATTCAAAATCAATTGACAAAAAATTAAGAGGTCTCTTTTGAATACAATTACTAAATTTAAGTAATTACGAGAGAGGATCGTATTGATGTGGACAAGCTTACCAATAACAAACAATAATTTTGTAAACAGAAAATCTAGCAGAAAGAAAACTGACATTATTATTGTGGCTGCGGATTCTAGAAAAAGTAACTTTTCCAGCTTCCAAGTCGAGGGAGTCCACACGACGTAGATTTGTCGATGACACCTTATTTTCTTTCATATTAAGTGCTTCTTCTTCTTCTTCTTCTATCATCTCTTGAGCTGCTTCTGCTTCTGCTTCTGCTTCCCTTCTTCTCTCTGCCATATTATGCCACTAGCTAGCTAGGCTGGTGCTTAATTTATGAGCTGGGATAGAAAGAGAGTCAACATTTTGCTATTGGTCCTTAACTAAATTGTCGCATTAAAATACTCCATTATTGATTTTGTGTACATTACACACCAAACAAGTTTTATGCATTTGGGGTTGGAGTTTCCTAGGGTAGGTTTTGTTTCACATTTGATTTCGTTAGCCTTTTGTAATCATATGGTTGGGGGCACATGCAATTCAAACTTATTTGAGCATCATAAAAAATTGAAGTTTTAGAAACCAAAATTTATAATTAAAATTATTTTTTAGAGACCAAATAATTTTATTGAGAAAAGTGTCGTTATTATACTTTAGCAACAAAAATTGGACATTAATGATAAATTATTATCTATTTGGGACCAAATTTTTTGTCTAAAAAAATAAATAATTTTGAGACCAAATTATTTTATTCCTAAAAGTTTATTTGTTAGTGATATTTTCAAAATTTTGTCCCTAAAAGTCTTGTTTTTGACTTTTCGGGATAATTTCTTAGCAATTATTCTCGTGACGATGAAAATTGATCCCTAAGGGTGTGTTTGATTGAGAGGATTATGGGAGGATTATTTACTGTTCGGATTGTAATCCATTGAAATTAAAAGTCTGACATTTGTTTTTTTTTTTAGTCTGTCGGACATGGAGTCCGGCCGAACTCCTTATCCCTGATATGTGGGATTACACTGTTAGGGGGGGATTGGGGATGCTGCTGCGCGAGATGCGCAGTAGCATTTGTTGTGCGGCAAAATGGGCCCATTTTGATAATCCGAACTATTTACATTTTAGAATACATCAAGTAGAACATGTCTGGAAAAAATCAAATTAATCGGATATCGTTTACTCATTCATCCACTCACGTTTTTATCTACAAAAATAAATAATAATTGTGATTTAAAGTATTAAAATGAATACAAATGTGAGTGGATGAATAAGTAAACGATATCCGATTAACTTAATTTTTTGCAGGCATGTTCTACTTGACGTTTTTTAAAATGTGAACGGTTCGAATTATCAAAATGGGCCTCGAAATGAGTCCATTTCGCCGCACAATAGATGCTGCTGCGCGGAATTCCCGGGGGGGGGGTGTGGGACAATTTTCAAAGTTTTAACTTTTATAAATCAAAATTTGGTTTCTAAAATTCTTATATGTTGTAGTGGAGATTTAAGGCGAAACATTTAATTAATTACAGTCTTTTATTATTTTTTATAAAATAAAATATATTTTTAACTCTTATAATTTAATTACTTTAATCATTATAATTTTAAAAGAAAATTTTATTTCATTTATTAAATTATCAGTTAAAAATCAATATTACCCCACTACAACATATAAAGGTTTTACTCCTGTTTATAATTAATGAAGCTGTTAATGTGGTATCGAAATTTCATTTTATCTCTCAAACTATATTCAAAATATCAATTAGACTCTAAAATATTTTAAAAATTAAATTTAAATATCTAATAATAATTTTCATCTAAAAAAGTGAGAAAAATAAATTTTAAATAAAAAGACGTAAATATTTGTGTTATTGAGCATTCTCCACAAAATTGTTGCTAAGTTCAGCATCAGTGCCCTTGGGTCAACGATATGACCGGATAGATTGTAACCTCGGCTTTGTAGGTTGAGATCTTGAGATATTCATCTTTATTATTATATATCATAACCCAAATCTAGAAAGAAAATATTTCTCTCACAGCATGTGTGGTGTAAATTTTTACCCACACTGTTTTTATTGAAACTAATATGGGAGATAAACTAGCTACAATTGCCAAGAAAGGGAAAGAAGAGAATAGACTAGGAATTTTGGACACATTTCCCTAAGATTGACTCAATGTAATTTTTATTAGAGAAATGTAACAGACCCATAACTGACACTCCTTAATTCGCCTACAAGGATGTGATGAGGGTGCTGATAAAGAAACTAAGCTTTATTTCACCAAAGAATGACTCAATGTAACTTTTATTAGAGAGATGTAAGTGACCCACAACTTACACACCCTTAAATTCGCTTGACGAGGGTGTTGAATTCTACATAGTTGAGTGTGTGATAAATCAAAAATTGATACTTGAGACTTGTTTCGGTAAGTCACTATATCAACCAAAAAGCCAAAAACACACTACAAAAAAATTAACTTCCAGTATCATTTTTTTGGTGTCTTTTTATTAAAAAAAAAAAATCAAAAAATCACTAAAAAAAAAAAAATCAATTTTGTAAAACAACCCTTAATCTGCCATATAATTATGGGTCAAATTGGAAGAACTTTATTATGGATTTCAAACATTTTTCTTTTTATTATCTTGTTTGGGGCCCTTTTTTATACTACAATTTTGATAAAAGTTTTTTCTTTATTTTTTTTGGTATTGACTGATGAAGATTTTATTTTGTTTTATTTATTTTTTGTCTTGATTAGGTCATAATTTCATTTATTTTTTCAAACCTCGCAATCGAAAAAATAAAAAAATAAATAAGAAATTAGACAATTAGGAATATAGAGAAGGCTGATGGCAGCTTGTTTTTGGGGATATCCGGTAACAGCCAGCCAAACCTGTCGCAACCGATTTTATGTAATCTTACTTATAATCCATAATGTGGACACCCAAAAAGAGACAAAAAAATAAGAAGGAAAAAGATTGAGGCCTCGAATGTGGCTCCAAAAAGTTGTTTTTATTTTATTATTTTTTTTGAAACTGTGTTGGTTTGGTTGTTTTTATTTTTATTTTTATTTATTTGTTGGGTTATGTTAGTTTGATTGTTTTTATTTATTTGTTAAGCTGTTGTAATTTTTTTTTTTTTTTTTTTTTTAAAGGATGGTTATGTGTAGGGGTGAGTTTAAAGCTTAGGATTTAAGATTTAAGTTTTTATTTTATCCGAGTCTTTCTGATTTGAAATAAAAATAAAGTAAAGACTCGTGCAAAACTATATGAGTTGGGTTGTGTTAGTTTGGTTATTTTTATTTATTTATTTATTTGTTGGGCTGTTGTAATTTTTTTTTTTTTAGGATGATTATGTCACTACAAGAAAAAACACTTTTCGTGACCAACATTTTGGTTGCGAAAAGTACCATATTTGGTCGCTAAAACCTTTTCGCGATCAAAATATGTTGGTCGCGAGTTGGTCGCTAAAGCCTCGTCACAGATAGTTTTCTGCGACCAAAAAAACCTTTGGTCACTAAAAGTGACCATTCGCGACCAACTTTTTTGGTCGCGAAAAGTCCAATTCATATTAGCCAAAAGGGAACTTTTAGCGACCAAAAAAAGTGACCATTGGCGACCAACTTTTTTGGACGCGGAAAATCCAATTCATATTATCCAAAAGTAAACTTTTAGCGACCAAAGTTGGTCGCCAAAAGTCAGCGCATTGACCCAAAAAAAATAATCTTTTGTGTTGCCTAAGACTTGAACTCCTATCCAAGGGCTCACCATGCACCCAATCCACTCTACCAATAACATGCTTCTTGTTCATATTCGGCAAAAAACATATATAACCCATAAAAATTGGGTTATTTATTATTTTATAAAACTTTTAATGCCTAAACAGAAAAATAGCATGTAATTACAGTAGTATCATTTTTTTAAAATTTATCCCGCCATAACTTTCCGCGACCAACTTTTTTTTTTTGGTCGCCAAAGGATAATCTTCCGTGACCAAAAAAGCCTTTGGTCACCAATAGTATACTTTCCGCGACCAACTTTTTTTTTTGGTCGCGAAAGGGTGATCTTCCGCGACCAAAAAAGCCTTTGGTCACCAATAGTATACTTTTCGCGACCAACTTTTTTTTTTTTGTTGCCAAAAGGTGATCTTCCGCCACCAAAAAAACCTTTGGTCGCCAATAGTATACTTTCCGCGACCAACTTGTTTTTTTGGTCGCCAAAAGGTGATCTTCCGCGACCAAAAAAGCCTTTGGTCGCCAATAGTATACTTTCCGCGACCAACTTTTTTTTTTGGTCGCCAAAAGGTGATTTTCTGCGACCAAAAACTTGTGGTCGCCAAAAGTTAAATTTTAGTCGCAGAAAGTGAATTATTTGCGACAAAAAAAAAAGGTGGTCGCCAAAAGTATTTTTTCTTGTAGTGTGTGTAAGGGTGGGTTTAGAGTTTAGGATTTAAGGTTTAGGTTTTTATTTCTTCCGAGTCTTTCTGATTTGAAATAAAAATATAGTAAGGACTTGTACAAAATTATATAGAATTAACAAATTTTAACCAGCAGTCTAACTGATCAGTCAATTTTATCACCCAATCAGTCTAACCTAACTGGTTTTTTTTTTCTTTTTTTCTTTTTTTTTTTCTATTTGTTGAGCTATGTTGGTTTTTTTTTAAATTTTATTTTATTTGTTGGGCTGTATTGGTTTGATTTTTTTTTTTATTAGGTTTTAGGAAACACATAAAAACCCTTTTTAAAAAAAAAAAAAAAAAAAAAACAAAAAAAAAAAAAAAACAAAACAAAACATCTTTTCGAGGCAAATTCGCGCCTCCTTACAAGGCCTTTAGCACGGTTGAAATAAAAAATAAAAAAAGAATAATGCTATATGCACCAATTAGTATATTAATTAGTGTATCAATTGATGATTTAACATAATTTAAGAAATTTTTGATATTTGTAATTTGTATAATGAGTATGATTAACAATAATGTCATAACTGGTATTGATACACTAATTAATATATTAATTAGTATATGTAACACCACCGATAAAAAAATCCAATAATTGAGTGAGGGTGATTAATTTTATGGGCTTTGAAAAGAATGTTGAGCAAATATCGATTTGGATACATTCTAATGGAATTACGGAGGGACGTTAATATAATAGATAAAAAAAACAAAAAATAAAAAACACAAAGAAAAAAAGGCACATACAACGATTATCGCGTTACATCAAGCTAAAAGTTAAACACAAAAAGACGATGAAAACAAATCCTTACTTTCAAAATATAATTTTTGTATCTATCATGAACACCTCATTACCCTAACCTAGGGTGAGTGGAACCTTGTAAAAAGATTATCAAGTTTCGGTTAGGCTGATGTACAATTTAATTACACTTTGTTTGATTATTTTTCTCACTTTAGTTTTTAATTTTTTTTTGTTTGTTTGTTTGTTTTACTTTGACCTTAAAATTAAATTTTTGTTCAAAATTAGACAGAAAATGTCACATGTCATAAAAAATATATTATTATATTAAAATTTAGGTTTGTATTAGAGGTATGAATTATATATAATAAAATATTTTTATGACACGTGGCTATCAATGTGTTATTATTTGTTTAATTTTGGATATAAATTCATTTTTGTAATAAATTGGGGAAAACTTAAAATATGAAGTGAAAAAAAAAAAGACTATAAGGGTCAAAGTGAAAAAATGGCCAAACATAAAATGGACAGTGTAATTTATCCTTTAAATGATCCTTCTTATCTTTTTGTGCATAATTTAAAAGGATAATAATAATAAATCTTATTGATTGAACTTATTTACTAGTAAGTCATGAGTGAATTTTATTTTATTTTATTTTTACCTTAGTGAATATTTGAAGCTTTTAGATTTTTATCATTTTTTGTTATTATGCAAATATACTTAACCACTTGGATATTTACTCCGCCACTTAAATTTTTTGTGCATAATTTAAATGTTTTTTTTTATTATTGCATATCATGTTTCTTGCCAACTTCAACATTTTAATCTTCTGATTTTCAAGAATTTTTTTTTTTTAAAAAAAAATTTCTTCAATTTCTACTTTTGTTAGAGTTTTCATGTATTCTTCATCTTTATAATTTTCATCCATTTCGCTTTCTTATTCTTTTGTTCTTTCAAACTTCTTTCATTCTTTCCATTTTCAATTTCATCGTCTTTTCCATCTCCAACAATAATTCTTATGAGAGCCAAAAAGATAGTGACCCAAATAAGTGTGCAGGGCCCAAAAACATAACTGAGTCCAATCTTAAATTAGACCATTGGGCTGAATCAGAGTTGAGTTTGAAGGAACGAACGCCAATGAGTCCCGACCGTGGGTAGTCGAGCCGAGTAGTTCATATAACTCGGTGTTAACTCGTTGAGCTACCGATCTACCCCCATAGAGTGCATGGGAAGTGGGTGCTAGCAGGAAGCATAGTAGAAGATAAAAGCCCGATGGCAACAAACTGTATAAAAGAGAGAGAGGGAGCTCCAGAAGCACGTATGAAAAAAACAACAAAGACACTAAAACTAAGAGGATTATACTTTTTGTAGGAGGATAACTAGACTGTTGGAGACTTGTTCTTCTATTTCAGGTGACCATCAAAAGACTGTTTCATGATCTGCTTGGATAAAGAAGTATCCCAAATCCATTTCCCCACAATTCTATTAAAATGTTCTTTACAAAAATGCATCTTTATCAAAATCTTGTAGCTAATAATCATTTGCAAAAGATTGCTTCACATGATCTTCTTGACAAATAAATTCAAGGTTTTGTCATACCTAATTTGGAGATTTCACAACATGCTTCCAAACTTCTTCATTTATCGCCTTCTTCAATTTCTTCATTGCGTTGTTCATTTTTCTTCCCTTCAATTTTGCTTATCGCTTTAAGAAAGTATAAAATAGAAAATATGCAAGGGGGTGTAAGAAAGTATAAAGATGTACCACTATAAAAGTGATATAAAGCTCATATTTCACCTACAATAATCACCATGTATTGTACTTTATATAGGACTACATAGAACATGTTCTAGTTAAAGTATCTCATACTTGTAAATGATATTACATATTCTTGTGAAAATTCATAACATAATTTTATACAATTTTCTGTCAGATGAATATGTCACTCAACTTAATTATACTTCATAGCAAGTTGTGGATTACATTTTTCAACAAATTCAAATGTGTCATATCTCATATGTCATTCCAACCCTGAGGAGTCGTAGATCTAGCCAAATCTGATGTAGATCTACTCAGATCTGATAGAGAAAATTAGATCTACATCAGATCTAAGTAGATCCACTCATCTTCTTCGTCGGAAATATATATCTTCCCCGTCGGTGAGAGTGAAATCACGAGTTGATTTCGATGGTTGGCGGTTATCAGTGAACCCCGATCAATGGAAAAAGACATGAACACTTGCACCATCGTCTATGACGAAGACGATGAGAGAAAAATGTAGAAAAAAAGAGAAAGAAGAAAACGTAAAAATGGAGGAAAAAACCAGAGAGATGGAGGAAAGGACTTTTGGGTGTACCAAAAAAGTTATGGGATTAAATGGTATCCACATGTTTCACATGGGACCTGTGGGTAATTTCCCCTAATTCTTATGGGAGCCAAAAAGATAGTGACCCAAATAAGTGTACAGGGCCCAAAAACATAACTGAGTCCAATCTTAAATCAGCCCATTGGGCTGAATTAGAGTTGAATAAAAGTTATTTGAAGGAACGAACGCCAATGAGTCCCGACCGTGGGTAGTCGAGCCGAGTAATTCATATAACTCGGTGTTAACTCGTTGAGCTACCGATCTATCCCCATAGAGTGCATGGGAAGTGGGTGCTAGCATGAAGCATAGTAGAAGATAAAAACCCGAAGGCAACAAACTGTATAAAAGAGAAAGAGGGAACTCCAGAAGCACGTATGAAAAAAACAACAAAGACACTAAAACTAAGAGGATTATACTTTTTTTAGGAGGATAACTAGACTGTTGGAGTGGTAACCCCAACCAAACTTGTTCTTCTATTTCAGGTGACCATCAAAAGACTGTTTCATGATCTGCTTGGATAAAGAAGTATCCCAAATCCATTTACCCCCAATTCTATTAAAATGTTCTTTACAAAAATGCATCTTTATCAAAATCTTGTAGCTAATAATCATTTGCAAAAGATTGCTTCACATGATCTTCTTGACAAATAAATTCAAGGTTTTGTCATACCTAATTTGGAGATTTCACAACATGCTTCCAAACTTCTTCATTTATCGCCTTCTTCAATTTCTTCATTGCTTTGTTCATTTTTCTTCCCTTCAATTTTGCTTATCGCTTTAAGAAAGTATAAAATAGAAAATATGCAAGGGGGTGTAAGAAAGTATAAAGATGTACCACTATAAAAGTGATATAAAGGCTGCTTGGAAACCTGTAATAGACAAGTTTAAGAGCAAGTTAGCCTCTTGGAAGAGGAGGTATCTATCTTTTGCTGGAAGATTAACGTTGATCAAGTCCGTTTTGACAAGCTTGCCAGTTTATTTCTTATCCATCTTCAAGTTGCCGGTGGGCATTGCAAAAGTACTTCACAAAATTCAAGCTAACTTTCTTTGGGGAGGGTCGGAAACTAGGAGAAAACTGCACCTAATTAGCTGGAAGGAGATATGCCTAAGTAAAAACAAGGGTGGGCTAGGGGTAAGAAACCTAAGCTAGGTTAATGAGTGTCTACTAGTTAAATGGTGGTGGAGGTATGCAAATGAGGAGGCAGCTTTGTGGAAAAAAGTGATTTGTAGTAAGTATGGCGGTGTAGGTGGCAGGTGGTGCCCCTTATTTATTAGTTCAGTGGGGCTGTCGTATATGTGGAAAGGCATAATATCAGTGGCTGAAGTTAACACTGCTCTGCGAGAATTTTTCTGGCAAAATTTCAGGCTAGTTGTTGGAAACGGTAGAAGGTTGCATTTTTGGTCTGATAAGTGGTGCCACAATCAAAATCTGAGTGTGTCTTTTCCCAGATTATTCTCCTTATCAGTTGAAAAGGATGGAAAGCTGGTTGATTTTGTACATAGAAGAGTGTTAGATTCAGATTGGAACCTGGTCTTCAGACGTCCCCTCCTAGCATGGGAAGAGGAGGAAGTGCAGAAACTGAATGATTTCCTGCAAAATGCCCCTAGGCTCAATGAAGGGATGGTAGATTCTTGTTCTTGGGTAGCTCACCTGTCTGAAGAGTTCACTGTGGCATTAGTGTGGAAGTGGATGGAAGCAAGTCAAGGGGTTGATATTACAGTAACTAGGTGTATTTGGATCAATTTAGCCCCTCCCAAAGCTCAATTCTTGAGTTGGCTAGCGTGGAGAGGAAGGTTAAAGTGTTATGAATTTTTGCAAAGAATTGGAGTGTTGAGCCCAAATGTTTATTCTCTCTGTGTGTTTTGCAAATCTGAGTTGGAGACTGTTAATCATGTGTTTCTTCACTGCCATTTCATTTGGAAATTGTGGGCCAACTTGGTGAACTGGTGGAATTACAAATGGGTTAGCCCTGGATCAGTGGAGGGCTTATTTCTGTCATGGCCAGATATAAAAATGAAGAAGAAGATGCTAACAGTCTGGAAAACACTGCCGGTAGCAGTTATGTGGTCAGTATGGAGAAGCAGAAATGACTGTGTATTTAACAAGGTGCAACCGGATTGGATTGCTTTGGCAGAGCTAATAAAGGTTAGAGTAGCGTTGTGGGCTTCCTCATCTTTGAAGGGGTTTAATTATTCGGTACATGATATTATATATAATTTGAGTCAAGTCTGTTATTGTGTGTAGTTAAGTGCTGGCTTAGTAAAGCTCTGTGGGTTGATTTTGTTTGCTCTACTGAAAAATGTTTTGCATAAGTGCTGGTATATGCTGTCTTCTGATGTTCTGTGCATGAGCCCTGGTATGCTATGTGCTAATTCTGATCTGTTTTGAGATGGTCTGTGTTCATTTGGATACTGATCTGTTTTGATTAAGCTGGTGAATTATGAGTTAAATTGGGCTGCTGTATGTTGTTTGATCCCGAAGCTGTGTTGAGATGAATTTGATGTGCTGGTTGCATGAAATGATGATCTGCTGGTTTATGGGTATGAAATGATGATCTGCTGTGCTGAAGTCTGGTGTCAAAGGCTCCCATGTTTTGCCTTTCGCTGGGCTTTTGGTCTGGTTTGAATTAATAAGACTGAATTCTGTTTTCATGCAGTGAGGTGTTCAGCTTGATGCAGCCCATGGTATGCTCTCAGAATTAGTAGGGGCAGAGGACTGTGTTCTTGGTCTGTGCAGAGGAGGGTGTTTCAGAATTCAGTGTGTTCTTGGTCTGTGCAGAGGAGTGTGTTCTTGGTCTGTACAGAGGAGGGTGTTTCAGCTGGGGGCTAATCCACCTGAGGGTTGTCCTGTGTGGTGTATCTAGGTGCTTGTTCTAGTTTTCTGTTTTTCTGTTGTTTTTTTTCCTTCTCTTTCTCCTCTTGTTCTTTTGTGGTTGGTTCCTCACCAACTGGCGCTTCGAGCTTTGTCTTAGCTCCAAGCTCCTCTTTATTGACGTACTATTCCATACCTTGTATGTTGTCATCAACAAAGATTTTTTTTGCCGATCAAAAAAAATAAAATAAAAGTGATATAAAGCTCATATTTCACCTACAATAATCACCATGTATTGTACTTTATATAGGACTACATAGAACATGTTCTAGTTAACGTATCTCATACCTGTAAATGATATTACATATTCTTGTGAAAATTCATAACATAATTTTATACAATTTTCTGTCAGATGAATATGTCACTCAACTTAATTATACTTCATAGCAAGTTGTGGATTACATTTTTCAACAAATTCAAATGTGTCATATCTCATATGTCATTCCAACCCTGAGGAGTCGACGTCGAGGGATTCCCAGTACTTTCTCCCCTTGGCTAAAGTTTTTCCTGACGAAACTATAGATGTAGTTGACAGCAATTTTCTTGAAGAGGGATGAGTTTTGTTCAGCTCGGACTTCTGCTTCCCCCAACAGATAAACAACACCATTCTCCATCGCTTTCTGCACGAATTGCATCTCCTCTTCAGCAGCTTGGATGGGTCCGGAGATGATTCTGTTGGAAGAATTAGCAACATTGAATGACTGGATCGATCTAGATCCCAATGATGAAACACGACTTGTTGGGTAGTTGTGTTGTTGTTGTTGTGATTCTTCTTCCACTTTTGCATCCTTGTTAACTAAGAGACTAGAATATTGGATGTTCACCGGCTCGACTTCTTGTTCAAAGGGTGGTTGTCCTTCGCGAATGAAGTGTTCATGTCGAATGAAGTCCTTCAATTGATCCAATAGCTGCCTTTCAAACACCTCCGGTCCTTCAATCGTGTCATTATATCCATATCTCACCACACAGCGAAACATGCGGTAGTCTCTTGGTTCTACTAGCCGGAATAAAAACCTCTCCTCCATCACCACTTTGCTAATAGGAATGGACTTGATTGACACAAATACCAAGACTGAATGGATGGATGGTATATTGTCAATGAAATGGCGGAATATTGGAGGAATGCCCTGCACAAGTTCGGAATATAAAAGTCCAATCCCAGGTACCCGATTAATATTCGGATTTAGGGCTAAGTCTCTTATGAAATCACTCGAAACCTTGTTGTTGAGCTCAAACATGTATCGCTTTTTGTATACATAATGCCACATCCCCATTATCAGCATTAGAACAACTGAAAAAGCCAACGGGAGGTAACCGCCTTGAATGAATTTGAACAAGACAGACGACAGATATAAGCACTCTATCGAACCAAAAACCAGCAAGAATAGAATTATCCACCATATGCTTATCTTCCATATAACAAGCATGATCAGAGTAAGCATACAAGTTGTGATAATCATTACAGCAACCACGGCGATTCCTGCACCAAAACGGTACATGTCATTTTCTCTAATCGAAAATGCTATTTAGGAAAGAAACGAAAAGAAAAAAAGCTCAATTTTGAGCATATTTCAAGTGTCCATAGTTCAATTTCGAAGAAGATATTTGACACTCTATCATTGTATAGCAACAAGCTCTAGATTTACTGTGCCAACACTAATCTACCATATTTAGAGTTGAGAACTGAGATCTACGAATTTACAAGGCTTTTGAAGCTTACCATATGCATTGCCAATCTTTGTTGTGGTCTTGAAGGCAGCGGTTACAATAACACAAGCAATCATTAGTAAGTAGTTAATCTGTGGTATGTAAACCTGACCCTCATATTTAGCCGATGTGTGGACAACTTTAACCCTCGGGAAACAGCCTAGAGTTAAAGATTGGGAAATAATTGCAAATGCTCCGGATATCATGGCTTGGCTAGCGATAATGGCAGCAGCTACAGCGATAACAAAGGTTGGCCAGTATATTGGATCTGCAGACCGATGAGCATAAATGAAAAAAAAATAAAAAAATAGTGATAATCACAATGATGATGATAATTATGTAAGCCTGGTAATAGTTTCAAGTAATTGCAATGAATTATTTAGTTCTAGACTTACGTGGAATCGAGGCATAGAAAGTATTGAGTACATCGTGTGGGAATTTGACAAGGTATGCAGCTTGTCCACTATAGGCAGCTAGTAATGCAGGAAACACAATTCCAGAGCAGCTAATCTATAATTCAATGTCAAAATAAATAAATAAATAAAAACAAATTAAAGCTAACATCCATTCCTTGGAAATAATAAATAACCGAACTACATAAATTTTTGTGTCTTTGTATGTTATTAACATCTGACATGAATTTTATTTTATTTATTTTTTTGGTTTGGTTTCTAGAGTTTGTGCACAGTTACTTACCTGGATTGCTCGAACATTGAAGTGCCCTAGATCGGCAAACATGGCTTCCGTCCCTATTTCATACATTTAATGTAGATATGTTGTCAAGGACAAGTTAAAAAAAAAAAAACTGATCTACAAACAAAAAAAAATTTATACATAATTTTATATAATGTGACAATGTCATTTTTAGAAAAAAATAAGTTGCATTCATGGTCTGTATTTGTTTGTAGAGTGATTGGAATCAAAACTGCAACATTATTGTGGATTAAATTTTTTTTTTTTTTAAAAAGAATTACTGAAAAGTTGGAGACACTAGACATTCAAAGAAATTATTTCTTCGGTCAATTACCACATGTATCCATATAGTCCTGATCTTGTGTAGTTTTGATTCTTATAATTCTAATTACATCAATTTTATTTTGAAAATTTTAATATTGTGTCAATGTAGTTCAACTAACAACGTACATTCAGAAATTGAATTGAAATCAATGAGCGGATAGTCTATTCACTCTTCTCAAAGTGAATGAGGGATTAGCATCCAATTTAAAATTTTTATTCATTTTTCAACGAACTATTTTGCCCTTGAATTTTGTCTAGTTTCTAAATAGATATTATCAATTGGACTAAATTAAAACAATGTAACATATTGAAGGGGAAAATACACCAAATTAATGCAATAAGTAAATTAAAAATACTGCGGTTATAATTTCTCCTTATTTTTTACGATAGCATTTAGTCATGGCCAAAACTATTGCAAAAAAATTGGCAGACACCAATTTTGCATACATAAAAAGTTTTTGCAACCCTAACATTTTCGCCCTCACACCATTGCAAATACTTTTTGCAAAATCAGTTGTTCCATTTCGAGACCCTCAAGAATTCCTAACTATTGCATGGGAGCAGGTTCATCTTCGTGTTGCAAAATATATTTTCAACATTTTTCAATAATGAATTTTCTCTCTCACCTGTAATGCAGAGAACAACTCCACCAAGAGATACCCATCCTTTCTTGCCATTTCTTTTAAAGTAATCAACTATGTATTTTGGATTGAAAGCCTTTAAGACTCTAACATCATACGTGAACAAGTTATAGAGTCCTATCCCACTTATGAACAAGAACCACAACATAATGATTGGTGCAAATGAATATCCCACTTTATCAGTCCCAAATCTTTGAACACAAAATAGAACAATCAAGATCGCAATTGAAATGCCCACTGCAGCATCTGCAAAAAAGATCATGTGATTATTAATGTAATATTGCATATAGAATAATTCTAACTATTTCATATGAGGTGTGACTAATTAAATATGTGTGTCACACCTTATGTGAAAAAATTGTGTTCAATTTTATGATTGAATTCTGTACATATAGAACTGTAAAAGAATGCATATATAATCTAAGCCGTTCGAAAATAATAGTTTGTATAATATTATAAAGGAAAATGAGTTGAATCCCCTCAAGGAAGCACCCCTTTTGACCCCCTCTCTTTCTGATTGGCCAGTTTTTCTTTTTTCTTTTTCTTTTTCTTTTTTTCCTTCTCCTTCAATCACCACCCGCCACGTGTGTGTAAGGGTGGTGAGGGTGGTGATTGGAGAGGGTCTCAATCACTCCCCTATTATAAATATATTTTTGTTTTAGTAGTACCTTGATGTAAGGCCGAGATCCCACTCACTGCAGAAAGGACTGCAAAACAACACCATGATGGTTTCAGTTAATCTTTGTACATAAAAGATAGAGGTCTAGAAAAAATATCAAGAAAATTTATTTCGATTTATAATGTGTGATCCATATTCAATTTTTATACAGTGTGATTTACATTTAATAAATCTCAACCACACAATGCTTATTATGAGTTTATTGATCTTCGTATATATTGTTAATCTTTGCATGAACATATGTGTACATGTGTGTACCAACCCCACAAGTGATGAAGACAGTGAACAAAATAATAAGCATGAGCAACTTCATAAATATAATATGTTTTAAATGTCGGTCAACACATCTTTTCAATTCATACATAGGCCCTATTTAGTAAGTCTTATTTCCAGCTTATTTCAATTTTTACCTTAATTTAAGCTATTTTGATGTGTTTGGTTCAGCTTAATAATACAGCTTATAGCTTTTTGTAAGTCAAAAATCAACTTATTCTTTGAGTGGGGGAGGAGAAGCTTAATTTATAAGTAAAAAATCATCTTATGTTCACAGTTATAAGGTATAAGCTATAATCACTTTCCCACGGCTCTACCAAATGGGGCATAAAGAGGAAAAAAAAGGCAAAAAATGAAATTAGAGGTAGTAATTTTCATATCAATTTATATATAGTTACATCGTCAGTATAAATTTGTATACTGGTACCGTCATTTAAACTTATGAACTAACCTGAGATGCATGGAGTTAGAACCCCATCTCCAATGACCATGGAAGTTCCCAAGATGGTGATAAGGAAGAGAACCAATTGGGCAGTTTTGCTATTCTCCAACTTCTCTTTAATCTTTTGAGCTCTTTTGAACTGGTTGGTGGGTATTTCCAATTTGTAGTTGGATAGTTCTCTATCCTCTGGCTGTTGATTTGGTATTAAGCTCACCTTTGCATATCTACATATCAATGAATATAGTGCAAATGTTCCCCCTATACCAACATACACAGCCATTGTTATTATTATTTTTTTTCAAAATATATATATGTCACCAAATAAATATCATCATGTTTAAATAAAAAAAAAGTATTTCCATTTTTTTTTTTCCATTTGTATTATACCTTCATTTCGGTAATTATGTAATCTTTGAATGCAATTAGGGCAAGCCTAACTCAAGTATCCTGATTCCAATCAATTTTTTTTAGGAGTTGGGAAAGCATATTTTTGAACTTAATATGAGCTTGGACAATAATTTAAAAGTCAAAAGTTTGAATTAAATACACTATTATGTTTTTTGTTTTTATGTTACTTATGATTTTGTAAAAAAAATTAGAAAAAAAAAAAAAATCAATAGAGCTCAATTTGAAAAAATTAACTAATCTGGTTGTAAAAAAGAATAAACCTAGGTCAAATTTATAAATAATTCTGGCCTAATCTCAATTCAATTTATTAATTTCGGGATGAACTTGGACTGTGAGTCGGGCTTGCAAAGGATTGCTGATGCCAAAGGGTTCAACAGTCCCTAGAAGTGATTACAAGAAACTTTTTAATTTATGTTCTCAATTATTATTGCCCAAAGAATAAGCAAAGAAAAAAGTTTAAGCCTTGGGTTGGGTTGGGTTGGGTTGGGTTGGATTGGATTGGGTTGGGTTTGGGATTATTTTAAATACAAAAAAACAAAATAAATTTTTTAGCTTAATGAGACAAAACATCACATCCCACCCATAATCATTATATTCTTTCTCTCACAAAAAAGTTTAAAAAATCAAAAAATCCTTTCCAAATGAGACTTTTTAGCTCCAGACTAAAATAACTAAAAATCAAAAAGTTAAATAGCCAACTCACTTCCCAAACAAAGCTTAATTAAATAAAGGTCTAATTGCATTGCATGGGTTAGCTTCATGTGACGCAACATTTTTTTTTTATATTCTCAATCCACCCCTAATTCATCAAATAAAAGATGGCCTAAGGATTCATTTAGAAAATGACTGTTATAATAATTTTTAAAATTTTATACTAAAATATGAGATAAAAAAATTAAAATATTTAAAAATATTTTTAAATTTTTTACGAAAAAACATATAAAAAAATAAAGAAAATGAAAATGAATCTTTAACTTTTTTGAATTATTTTTAATGACTTTTTGACTAGGATCAGTCTTTTCTCCAGTCAGAAATCGAACTGGAGCATATTGATTGTTGGGCTTGTAGGGCTCACCACGGGTCCAACTTTGATGATTTGACTCATTCAATGTGTAAGGCTTGTCGAGTATTTTATCTCTGTAAAAAATCATGTTAATCAAATCAGATTTTTGTCAATGGTAAATATAATTTTAAAAATAGATTATTGACAAAAATCTGGTATGATCAAATGACTATCGATATCTGATCAATGTAATTTTTTTATAGAGATGAAATAATCGACGAGCCCTACACATTAAACATTCGGATAATTAACATTAGACTTGTGATGGCCCCATAGTCCCAAATAACACCGTCCAATTCACTAGAAAGTGGACTAGAAAGAACCTGAACCCTTTTAACTACTTGTCAAACAAAACCTCAAATGAATTTTGATAATTTATAAACAAATAAATAACTAATTGGAGGTGATGCGAGGAAGTAGGTTTCATTTCAAGTTTCTCATCAAGAATAAGTCTAGGTGCTTAGATATTAAACATAGAATGTGATACATACATGTCATATGAGATAGGTTTCATAGATAAGTCTCACATTATGTAGACATATTTATGACTTTGTTTGGCTAGGACTTTTTTGGCTATTTTAGTCACAAAAGACAGAATATGCTATTTTAGCCACAACAAATAAAAATTACATTAAACTCATAATCATTACACTCTTTTCTCACAAAAAAAGTAAAAAAAACAAAAAGTCCTTCACAAACCAAACTTTTTAATTCAGGATAAAATAACTAAAAAAGTCAAAAAACTAACCCACTTTCCAAACAGAGACTATGTAAGACATATATATTTTATTCTATATTTAAATCAAAATATATAATGAAACATTACTCTTCTCGTTAATATATATATTTTTTAAAATCAAAATAATCTGTTAAGTTTAAAATTTGTTCGATTTTAGTACTCTGAGTCCGTCATGATTGGTGGTGATGTATCACTAAGGTGCTATTTGACATCCTCTATTTTAGTACACTTTTTTTTTATGTTTTTATTTTTTTTAAGTATCATATTATCTCTGTATTTTTTTACATACCTTTTTATGAAAAGTAAGAAAATATATTTATTTAAATAATTCCAAACACTCTCTAAATAATTAGGAATCCACAGAGCTACATTTACTCGTAATCTTATAGTATAAAAATTAAGAGTAATGAATATACATCATTGAAATGATTTTGGTTTAAAAAAAAAAATAAAAGTGACAATATTTTTCAAAATTTATTGGGGACAAATTACATTAACAGTCTCTATAGTTTAGGGTTTGTGTCACTTTGATTCATGACTTTTTAATTGTGACACATTTGATTTTGAATTCTGAATTTTGTTTCAAATAAGAACAATTGAAGATACCATCACTCAATTTCAAGGGTAAAGTCGTCAATTTAATAAAATATAAATTAATTTGACAAAAATAAATGTCAAAAAAATATTTTCAAAGTTTAAAAAATTATTTCCACCTACCAAAAATAAAATTATATAAAATTAATAAATCTTTTACACATTTATTTAGTTATTTATTTTTTATCAAATTATTTTTTATTATGTGTTTGGAGGATGACTTTTTTTTTATGTTCTTATTTTTTTTGAAGTGACATATTATCTCTATATTTTTTTACATATCTTTTTATGAAAAGTAAAAAAATATATTTATTTAAATAATTCCAAACACTCTCTAAATAATTAGGAATCCACAAAGCTACTATTACTCGTAATCTTATACAAAAATTAAGAGTAATGAATATACATCATTGAAATGATTTTCATTTAAAAAAAAAAGATAAAAGTGACAATATTTTTCAAAATTTATTGGGGGCAAATTACATTAACAGTCTCTATAGTTTAGGGCTTGTGTCACTTTGATTCATAACTTTTCAATTGTGACACATTTGATTTTGAATTCTAAATCTTGTTTCAAATAAGAACAATTGAAGATACCATCACTCAATTTCAAGGGTAAAGTCGTCAATTTAATAAAATATAAATTAATTTGACAAAAATAAATGTCAAAAAAATATTTTTAAAATTTTAAAAATAATTTCTATCCACCAAAGATAAAATTATATAAAATTGATAAATCTTTTAGATATTTATTTATTTATTTTTACCAAATTAATTTTATTATGTGTTTGGATGATGATCATGTAATGAGTGATTGTTAGGCTTTTAATGTTTAATCGATATATTTAATATATGAAATGGTTTTAGTTTTGGATTTTTTAATTTAATGGATTGGTTTAATAACGATATCAGAATTGTCGCTATATTTGACTTTTAAAAAAATAAAAACTAATTTAATAAAAATAAAAATAAAAATAATTACCCATTACATGATCATCATTCAAACACATAATAAAAATTAATTTGGTAAAAATAAATAAATAAATAAATTTCTAAAAAATTTATCAATTTTACATAATTTTAGTAGGTAGAAATAATTTTTTAAAATTAAAAAAATATTTTTTTGATATTTATTTTTGTCAAATTAGTTTATATTTTATCAACTTAACGATTTTACATTTGAAATTGAGCTATGATATCTTCAATTATCTTTATTTAAAATAAAATTCAAAATTTTAAAATCAAATGTATCACAATTAAAGAATTAAAGATCTAAGTGATACAAAATCTAAATTATAAAGACCGTTAATGTAATTATCCCAATTTATCATTATTATTATTTTAAATATGTTATCTCGCAACCCTATAACCACCACTACTGCGACATCTAAAAGATTATCCAATCACCCTCGGTTGACATCTGACGAACTCCAACAACACTTTGGCCGCCATTTCCGCCACCTTCAACCAATCCCTCATTCGACCAATGTCTAGCGTCAACTGCTGCATCTTTAACAACTCACCAAATGTGTTTTTTCTTATTTTCTTTTCATTTATTTTCAATATATATATACACCAAACAATAATTTCTTAAAATTACTTAAAAAGGGAAGAGGAAGAAAAAATAAATAAAATAGCAAGAGATGCTCACCATCACCATTGTCGTTGGCCCACAAGACAATGAAAACATACTTAAGCATGGGAATGAAGATAATGGTGTAGATGATAAGAGACAACACTCCCAAAATGTCTTCATTGTGTTGGATTCCCTCTGTGAAAGTGTTTGAAAACACATAAAGAGGAGAAGTCCCTATGTCTCCATATATTACCCCCACACTTTGAAATGCCAAAGTCAATGTTACCCTCCAATCTACCTGCATAAATATGTTCCATCTTCCATCACATTAATACATTATATAATACAAAAAATGTCATAAATAACGAAATTTTTTTCATAAAATGTGTTTTGAAATGATCGTAAAAGCTTAAGATCAGCCAGCCGTTTGACCGACAAAGACTTCGAGATGATTTGGTGAAACTTTTTTCATGTTAATACAAATATATATAGAAGCAAACAAGGAGGCCTCCTGTAATGATAGAAACTATGAACAAGGAAATTAATTGAGGAGAAAGGATAGGGGTAGGGTTGTGAAAAAATCGATAGAACTGAGTTAATCATTTGAAATTGGCCAAAATTTTGAAAAAATTTACACTAATGCTGGTTGAACTAATCAAAATATTATATTCAAATATTTTTTACATTTTGATTATTTGAATATTAAAAGTTGAGTGATCAAGTTTTTATAATTTACATTATTGATTTTGGGAGGTAGGCATTTATAAACCAGATCTCGCCCTCTCTCTTCATTTGGGGTTCTGTTGGTTTTTGTAAAATCCTTGTAGCCTCCTGTGATTTTTTTGTTATTATTTAACACTAAACCAAAAACCCACAAATATTGAATTGTAACATATGATCAATTTTAATTTCTCAACAACAAATTCTAATCGGGTGGTTCAATACTAAAGGATTGTTTGGGATAACCTAAATAAATACATTTTTTGTCTTTTTACGAAAAGATGTACAGAAAAATAGAGAGGTGATGTGATAAAAAAAAGATAAAAAGATGAATTATTTGAGGTAGGCCAAACTTGACCTAAATTTTTCCTAAAACCTGACCGAACATATCACATCCTATAGACAAAAGATCCTGTTCCCCCAAATCCCTCTTCTCTATCTTTAATGCATGAGTAATCATTTTGTTTTATTACTTGCCGAACATGATACTCAGGAAAAATATGTGTTTGGGTTGTGTTTATACAGTAGTTTTTGAGGTAAGAAGTACGAAAATTTATTTGGTTTGTCTTTTTTCAGAAATAGTTTTGGAAAATTGTTTTGGAGAGAGAGTTTTAAAAAAAGTGATTGATTTGATGTGTATGAGAGAGAAAGAGATATTTTGGAAAGTAGGTAACTAAACAAAATTTTGAGATTTTTTTTGAAAAAATTTATTTGTTTTGATTACTCTTGAAAATTTGTTTGTAGAGAATTTTTTCCAAAATTTTTTCTGAAAGGCCACAATTTTTGTTTTTAGCGTTGATGAGAGACTGGTCTTTGTTTGGTTAAGAATTTTAAAAAATAATTTTTGAGTTTTTAAATTGTATTTTTTTTTGTTTTTGTTTTTAGTGAATTCTTATAATATTTTAATTAGTTTTTTTAGTTTTTAAATTCACTTAATCTGTATATACTTAAAATATATGAAATTTGTGCAAAAATCTTTTAAAAATTTATTGAATACAAAAAATTTATATATTTTCATATTTTGTTATATCTTTTAAAGATCATTGTACACATTTTTTACTTTTTAATATATCTAAAATGTTTAAAAATGATTAAAATATTAAAAAGTTTCACTAAAAATAAAATAAAATAATTACAGATTAAAAACTCATAAAATTAATTTTTAAAAATTCGAAATCAAACAGAATAAGAGACAGAATTTTGAAAAGAGAAAATGAGAGGAGAAAGAGAACAAACATGATTATTGGGGCTGTGGATTCGAGAAAAAGTGACTCGACCAGCTTCCAAGTTGAGTGAGTCCACACGACGTAGTTTTTCCCATGACACCTTTTTCTCTCTCATATGATTCTGCACTTCTTCTTCTCCCATCTGTGACTCTGTTCCTCCATTATCATTTTCCATTTCTTCTTGAGCTTCTGCTTCAATTCTTCTCTCTCCATTCCCTCCCATTTATATATATTTGGATTTGGTTAATCTCTCTCTCTCCACAGTAACCCCGGCTTGCTATTCTTCTTATATGGGTGCTTAATTTATAAGCTCAAAAAGTCAACCCTAATTGCTTCTTCTTTAATTAGTATTCCATTAAATTACTCCATTATTGGTTGTTGTTTCCATTACCTACCTGCCAAGTTTCATGTATATACCAATGTTATACGTATCAAAATTAATAATATAGTATAATTTAATTTTTTTTAATATTTGTAATGTTATTAATGAGTGAGATCAATAATAATGTCATAATTAATGTTGATACACCATTTAATACACTAATTGGTGCATATAACACCACCGATATACATATATGCCATGATCTATAACGATTTGAATTTGGGAGATGTTATGATGTGCACCCTCAAAAAGGTGTATATGGTATGCCTTTTATAACTTTTTCACAAAATTTCATAGCTTAAACCTAAAATGTTATAACTTTTTTATTACAAAAGTCATAATTTGTTTTCACTAAAAAATGTCATAACAAAATCTCAAAGTGTTATAACAAAAATTATAAAATGTCATAACATTATCATTCCGAATTTTAAGGTGTACATCATAAATTCGTTATTTATAACTTTATTATAAAATGTTATAGCACACATTACAAACAATCATAATATTTGTTATAAAAAATCATAGTTTTTTTTATAATATACACTATTTAAAAGGGTGCATATTGTAAATTTCTCCTTCGAATCTTAAAGGAATAAATACATATGTAATTTTTTTTATTTTTTAAAAGAGTAATAACATAAAAAACTAAAATTTATACCGAATTTTCATATATAATATGATCTAATGGTGATCTTTTATTTTAAAATAAAATATTCATAAAAATAACTATTATTTATAATAATGTCAATGTCACATCATTTTTGTAATATTTTTTATATGAATTTTATATATGAATAGTATTTTTTTAATAAATATCTTACATTATTAGTATAATATACACAACTTTTCCAAATTTTGGAGGTGTAATCACATATATGTTAAGAAAGGCATTAAATAGGTATAACGACTCTCATTTATATAGAAAAAAATATTCATAAAAATTACTATTATTTATAATAATGTCAATGTCACATCATTTTTGTAATATTTTTTTGTATGAATTTTATATATGAATAGTATTTTTTTAATAAATATCTTACATTATTAGTATAATATACACAACTTTTCCAAATTTTGGAGGTGTAATCACATATATGTTAAGAAAGGCATTAAATAGGTATAATGACTCTCATTTATATAGAAAATAGTAAAAGTTTTTAAATTTGTTAGTATTAAATAAAGTTTTTTTTATATAGAGGCCAAAATACTCTTTTTATATTTCTCTTAATTTCACTCATTAATTTCCCTTCTATTATTCTATTTAATATAATTATATATATCTTTTGTTTTACAATAGAATTAAAGTATTTTATTTATTTGGTTTATTATATTTCGAAATAAATTGAAATGCATTTTTTTTTTTTGGTTCAATATATCCATGGAACTGTTTCAACTTAAATTAGCTTCTAAATTAAAAAAAGTATTATTATTTTATATGATTTATAAATATATTTTTTCATTCAAGTGGATGTAGTTAAAATTATTAACGGTGATGTTACATCTACCAATTTTTTTTTGATTGACAAAGAAAAATTCCATTAAAAACATGAAATTTACAGGTATAAGGAAATAAAACGCAATGAGAGAGATTCGAAGAGTAAATCTCACTCTCCTACTACTGCTACTCACGATCTTACAACCAATCCCTGAGCCTCACGATTTTATATTTTAAAATGCAACAATAAAATAAAATAAACCATACTCTTGAGCCCCCACCTAAACAAGAGGAAAAGAAAAAAAACTTTGAAACACTCCCCAGGTACACCCCCAAACACTGTAACACTCAAGAGCCCCTCACTTCAGACTCAACCACTGCAACACTCTTGAGCCCCACGCCTAGCCTGAACACAGCTAAGGCTACACCTACTGAACACACCCAAGGTCACAGTCCACCCATCTAAACACAGCCACTGACCAACCACCCATCTGTACACAGCCACCGACCACCCATCCTTTCTGATTCAAACTCCGGGCAGTCAATGCATCCGAACACACCCAAGGACCCACTGCCATCTCCACACTCATGCCCACCTGCTGCTACACCACGCCTATGCTGCTGCAACTCCCAAAACCCACACACTTAAGGACCCACTGCCATCTCCACACTCATGCCCACCTGCTGCTACACCACAACCATGCTGCTGCAACTCCTACAGGTGCCTCCTCTTTTGCTGCTTTGTGGTTCTTCTTCAGCCCTCACTACAAGAAAATGCAGAATTGGCGACCAAAATAAGTATTTTCGTCGCTGAAAGTAGTACCAATGGCGACTAAAATCAGTTTTGTCGCCAAACCTGAGCACTTTTGCCGACTAAAGCACTTTAGTCGCCGAATATAGGCCTTTTAGCGACTAAAAGTCAGTTTAGTCGCCGAATAGTTATAAACTTAGTTATGATTTATTAAAATGTTAATTATGACTTATTGTGCTACTAGTTATAAACTACCATGATTATTATTTTAGTTATGATTGAAAAGTTTTTTTGGTTATACGTATTACCTTTTTTGGTGTAACGTTATTAAAGAAATTGAACTTTATTTCAATCAATCCCTAATACAGAGGATTTGTTTACATTATATACATGTGATGTAATGCTATAACCGTAACCACTAACTAACTGTCTAATCTAACCACACTTAAAATGAACTAACTATAGTTCTAACAAATTAAGAACTGTAGGCTTCATTAACTGGGAGCTGCAACTGAAATTGCTGTTGCTGTGTGATACAGCCTTGACTGTGCTGCTATTGCTCTGTAGCTAGGCATGGTTGGCTCTGGCTCAGATATCGTATTATTCCTCCTTAAACTTTGAGGACAGGGAAGAACCTGAAGTTTGCCTTGAAGATATTGAAACCTAGAGATAGAAAGGGGTTTTGTAAGAATATCTGCAATCTGATCAGTGGAAGTAATATGGTAGATGATAAGCTTCTTGGCAGCCACTCTCTCTCTGACATAGTGGTAGTCCATTTCGATGTGTTTGGTCCTAACATGAAAAACTGGATTATGAGCCAAGGTTATAGCAGACATATTATCACACTAGAGAATGAACACAGAGACAGTTACATGGAGCTCAGAAAGAAGCATGCCAAGCCAGCTGAGTTTAGCAGACACTTGAGCTAAAGCTTTGTATTCTGCTTCTGAAGATGATCTAGAGACTGTGGGCTGCTTTTTAGCACACCAAGAAACAAGTTTAGGACCTAGAAACACACAATAACCTGTAATAGATCTTCTATCAATAACAATGACTGCCCAATCTGAATTTTAGAATGCATTAAGAACAAGAGGACCACTGGTAAAGTGAAGGCCATGACTCAATGTGCCTTTAACATATCTGAGAAGTCGCTTGAGAGTTGTAAAATGACTTTGCAGAGGATTTTGTAGAAATTGACAGAGATGATTAACAGAAAAACTAAGATATGGTCTAGTGATGCGGGGAAGGTATTAAAGTGACTTTTGGCGACTAAAAATGGACCTTTGGCGACTAAAAATTTAGTCGCCAAAGGTGATTTTTGTTGTAGTGCCTGAAAACACAGTTTTCCACTTCTCCCACGGTTTTCCTCTCCCAAACACCTCCCTCGGTTGATCTTCTCTGTAGACCCGGCTCTATTCTCCTTTTTCCCGACCACAAACTCCCACCACCATAGAGTTGAAACGGAAATCACCCCTCAAACTCCCACACACACGGAGCGCTCGAATGAAGATCCTAAACTCTGGATCCTCCACCCCTCAAACTTCCGCTTGCAGAGAAGTGCCCGAATGAAGTTCTAGAACCAACCCACCCATGGTCAACGCAACCACTCTACACCGGAACCCATGGCCGAAACACCACTACCACCGAACCTCTTCATTCGAAGAAAGAACCCACCAAAACCACTATCAACACTGTGAAAAACAAACTTCCTAAACAACAACATCCTAATCAAATCTAGAGATTAGATCTGAAAAGGAGAAAAACGGAAAACAAATGGGGGTTCAAGATTATTAGAATAAAAGAGCATCAAACACAAGAAGAGAAGTTAGGCCAGCCAACCGCCATGGCCAAAGGCGGCGGCGGCCGGCTGGCTAGCGGTGAGGCCCGAGAAGAAGGCTTTTTAGAGAGAGACTATTTTAAAACGAGAGAGAGGAAATTGTGAAATGTGTTGCATCTACCAATTAGTGTACTGATTAGTATACCAACTAGTATTATTATATTATTATTCATCTCATTTAATATACAAATTATAAATATTCAAAAATCTCTAAATAAATGTCACATTATCCGTTAATACATTAGTTAGTACACTAATTAATACATACAGTATTATTCAATTACTAATTACATTCTTAAAGAGCCAGCTCATATACTCAGTGAAAATAATTAATTTTCTTCACAAAACGTTAAATTAGTCTTTAAAATGCATTGTACGCATTTATTATTAACATTAAAATTGTAAGAATAAATAATGAATCGCTTATTCTTTCTAGCATCCAACTGCATTTATTATGAATTCTTTCCATATATATATATATATAATTGCATTTACTATAGAGTAATATCATGAACCTATCATTATCAATTCAGAAATTAATTAAAAATTTTATCATTGTGATTTAAATTTATTCTATATATACTCTATAACACATAAATTCAATCTCAATGACACAGTTTTATTTGAGATAAATTTATGGTGGTAAGGTGGAACTCCTAGACTTATTTTTTGGGTTTGGCTTCTGTCCAGTTTTTAATCGGACTGGATCGTACTGTTGGGCCCGTGGAGGTCCACCACGGGTCCCGTTTTGATAATCTGAAATGTGTAGAATTTATCGAGTACTATAAGCCTGTAAAAAATTACATTAATCGAATATCGGTAGCTATTTGATCAAATCAGTTTTGTATAAAAAAAAATGAACGGTAAATAAATTAACATTTGACGAA